TAATGGACATGCTCAGTAGCGGTTGCTGCAGTGGCTTCTCCAGACCCTCCGCTCAGCTTCAGACTACCCTCCGTGAGGGAGGGAAGCCCAGCGACCGCTGGAGCCCTCAGACCCCACCTGGAGGCTTTGTGAACCGCTCAGATGACTGTAATGATGTGCTTGTTTGTTCTAGAGATGCTGAGTGGGGGCCAAGGCATCTTTGGCATTGAATGTACCGATCGTTATTACAGTCTGGGAAATTCTCTATTAAGCACTATGGTCAACAAATAAGAAACAGTTCCTTCTCTCTGGGGCTTTACAACTGAGGGAGGGTGACAAGTACGCTAATAAGGACCCTGACTTCTCTCTAGTGGTGTGACAAGAGTCACTGAGGTGCTCAGTCACTGAGGGCTCAGAGGTGCTGCTGGACGTTGGCTGAGATTGGGGATTCTCCCACTTGAGCACACATCCGAATCCCCCGGATGGGCTGTTGAAACACAGATGTGGAGGCTGCCTGCATGCACTGTACACTGTTCTATATAAGGCCCTTGAGCATCCTGACCAATGCCCCGTGGACCAGCATGCTTGATGCTATTGAGGGATCCTCGCACTTACACCTTTCACCCTGTCTTCTAAGGAGACCAGAGGTTTTCTCCTTTTAAAGCACAAGGTCCTATGGGACTCTGGCTCCCTTTGTAACATGTGATGTTAGCTCAGAGATCACGTGCTCGGAGAACCCCAGAAACGCACCGCAGGCTCCGTGCAGACGCTGATGAAATGATCAGTTAGTTCCAACAGTGAGTGCAAAGCTTAAAAGCATGGCTTCTTTGAAGTCTGTGGCGAGGCACAGGCTATACTAAGACCTTTCAAGTTCATTGATTTGCTTATGCCTCAGCAACATCGTCTGTCCATGGGCTTTGCAAACAACGATAAAAGGTCTGGTATTTTCCAAAGAGGACAGAGTTCAGGACGGTGGGTGTGAGAGTCTTGGTTTACTAGCACATCACACATGTGGAGCATTAGCCGAGGTCTCCTGCCATTAACTGTAGCTCTTGTAGAAGATGCTTTGCGAAGGAAGAGAAGAATGTTTGACCTAGATAACTGTCTGGTCTTCTTAAAACATCAGTGACATCTCTTGCTGGGGTCCTTTTCCTTGGCACAGCGAGCGACCATAGAGCTTCTTGGGGCCCAGCCAAGCAGAGCTGTGAATAAAATAGATAAAGCCAGTCTTGCTTCTAGCAAACCTCCATTCTGTGCTGCACACTCACCACTGGCATCCCTTCCCCAGGATCCTCTCCACCTGCTCTGAGGAAATGGTCTCTATTGTCTTCAAACTGAAGTTTAGGAGATTGTGGGGAACTTAAAGGATTGCCCCACTTACCGATCCTTGCACATAGCAGCGATCAAAAGTAGAGGAGGGACGTTCTTACAGTGGATTTTAAGCACAGGCTGTAAGTAGGAGCTGCCTGGGGGATTATCATCATTTCCATGCAAAGAGACAACCACGAGAATAGAACGATGGTTTTCTAAAGTTATTTCTCACTGCAGTGGCAGTGCTCTTTCTGCCCAGCTTCCTTCTAGTTCTCCTGAATCTGGGCAACCACAGCCCCATGTGCTTGTGTCCTCTTGGCCTTCATTATATTTGTAGGGACTTCCTGTTGCAATTGATAAAAATCTTGTTCAAACCACCCAATGCCAAGGGAACATATATAAAAGAGGGTTGGACTAATGTTGTGGGTGAATATGGCTTCACTGTTATAAACACTCCTACACGCACATCTGCCTTTCCTTAAGCTGATTCTCTTGACAGCCATCATTATCTCCTGCTGTCCCGCAGATTAAGGGACACCTAGTTCTCAGTTCGAGGGGAAAGAGCTTGCCTCAGCTCGGCCTCCAGCCCCGTCAGAAAAGCCCGAGGAAGGATGCTGATTGGTCAGTGATGGGACCATGGTGGCTGGTAGGCGGTGGTCTTTTCTGTGACAGTCCCTAAGGGAACACATTCAGTAGAGGTCACCTGGCAATTTGAGCTTCCATTTCCATCTGGAAATGTGGGAAGTGGAGGTTTCTTGAAAGCTCTCCCCACTGTAACCTGGTTCTATTTAAAAACCACTCTTTTGTTTCTGGTATCCTAAACACTGGGTCTTTACTTCCGTGATATGTCCCACCTCCCACCAGGAGGTCAGATGACATTGGGAGACGATCATCATGTCCTTGGCCCAACTCTGAGATTTTCTGGACAGGAAAAGGGGCGGCGCCCGAAGTATCGATACCCTGCACAGGAAATAGCCAAGGGTCATAGATGAGCCTGGAGTAGATAGCTCACCATATAAAGCACATGATCTAAGATGGTCAGAATTTCAGACTTTGTGACGTGTCCCAAACTTAGCGTTTTGCTTGAGTGGAAAAAAAAAAAGAAAGAAAGAAGGAAAGAAGCCGATTGGTGGAAGGTCAGCTGGAAGTGTTCTCATGTCCTTGTGCTGGGGACCTGACAAGATGATGATGTAAATGGTTCCGGTTCACATGCAGCCCAGGTTCGACGTGGCTAATGTGTAGACGTGTCCAGATGATTCATCTGTTTCCACATCGTTGGACATTCGTTCTTCCTGAGAAACCAGATGATGTATTTTCCCCTCCCAAAGCCTCCCCACCTTCAGAGTGTGCCCGGCAGTCTGTCTTGTCCATCACACCCTCTCTCCTGTAATGAGCTGTGCCCGGGTCTGACTCACTGGTTAGACCAGGAGTTCACAGAAGCAGGGGCCATACTCTAGTCACCTTTGAATTCCCAGTGGAGATGCACGACAAGGACTCAGTAATGTCTATGGTATTGGCTTCAGAAATAATGCTGCTCAAGAACATTTCTGTGAAGAGTTTCTATCAATTCCGTTCAACTCATGTATGCTGTTGATCAGCTGTGTTGGGCTCAAGTTGTCTTCTGTAGCTTCCTGGGGTTTCTGCTATTAGGTTCATTCTGGGGATAAGATACCCCTCTCAGAAAGCCCCTGTGGAAATGCCTGTGGCCTTGTGGAGGGCTTTCACACTGTAGCCTCGGACTCCTAAAGACCATAAGGGCAGATCAGGGCTGATAGCACTGCAAAATTGTCTGGGTTTTTTAATTCTTTTAGATACCTATGATTCATCTTTCCCTCAGTAGAGCCCTTTGCAGTTGACAAGGGATTCCTGGGAGTGAGGGAGGGGAGAGGCATGTTAGCAATGGGTATGCAGATGGTGAAAGAGGGCAGATACCTGGCACCCCTGCGTTAGGGGTCGCATGGGCCTGTGGGCATACTTTAGCCTGATGGGTAACAGGTTTTGGTGTCGCTGCTAAGGAAGATTCACTTTCCTGCTCTGCCTCCCAGTGCTCCTTACGGCCTGTGCGTGAATAGGAGAGACGTACCCTTAGAGAATAAAGCTAGCGGCCAGCTACCACTGCACCATTACAGAGGGGCGGTGCGAGGAGCTGTCAGTGTTGGGAGTGCGTGTGAGCTGCCCGCTGGGTGCTGAGGGGTGATGTTGCCATTGCCTAGCAGCCAGGCAGACTGGAAGTTCTGGTTTGCCACAGTATCCACGTACTGTAAATGGTCACCTCTGTGACAAGAAGACTTCATGCAGGTGACACCTTGGTGGGACTGTCAGTGGCAGTGACAGGGTCATTATCATACATGAATTAGTGAATGAACAGTGAGCATCAGGGTGGGCTGGGGTCACATTTATAGTGACAGAAGGTAAGCACTACCCCAGGATGCTTCATGTGATGAAGTGTGTGCTGCGTCCACCATATTGGGCTATTGGTGTCTTAGAATGCAGCTAGGTATGTGCGACCTTGGACCAGTCCTCGGCCTTTCTCCCTATCGGTTTCTTTGCCTTTAAAATAGTGGAAATAACACCTCCTTTCCTTGAGGCGGTGAGCAGCACAGTGCCTGGCACGGAACCTAGCATGCAGTGGGCCTGCACTTGGGATTTTCTCTTTTATGAAGTTATGCAGCCGCCCCCGGGCAGCTGGATGGTGGAGTATGGACCAGCCTGGGTCCGAATCCCAGTGCACCCACCTCCCAACCAGCTGTATGATTTTGAACCAGTCACTTCATGTTTCTTTTGAAGCCTCCGTTTGTTTATATGTTAATACGATCATGATAATAACTAGCTCCTGGACCTTAGTGGATTTAAAGAGGGGATATATATATATAAAGCACCTACCACCATATACGACGTATAGCAGTTCCCTTATCCACAGTAACAGTTGTTCTCAGCTGAAATGGAGAGTTTGGGGAAAAAAAAAAAAAAAAAAAGCAGCCCATCACTGCAGACTCTGCCTGTGTGTCTGCTGGCCTTGCCCACCGCGTGCCTCCTGAGGAAGGGGACTCCACATGAACAGAGGCAGCGGGTAATTGGGCCATTGCCTCTGTGTGGGCCCGTCTGTCCTGAGGCACACACTACCAGGTGTGATTGCCTCTCTTTTTGTTGAGGCTTCTGGTAAGATATGTCTATTCTAATGTAATAGATCTCAAAGGGCATTTGTACCATCCAAACGCATCATCTGTCTGAACACTCAGGCCTTCACTAACGGGGATCACATCTGGGAGGGGTGGGGTGGTGAGTATCTGTTCATACTCGCTTGAGTTGATGCCATCTGAACTCCCAGCTCACTGTGTCTCCGCGATTTTCTCCTGGAGAAAAATAATGTGCGTGCAGACGTCTGGCTGTTGCTTGGGCCTCGTGCATTCTTGACTGTGCGCGGTGTATAGTGTTGGTGCAGTAGCAGCCACATCGTGACTGGATCAGTGAAGTGCTCCTCCCACGCCAAGCCTCTTCCCCCGGCTCCGGCCCTTCTCCGCCCCGTGGCTCCAATGATACGGAAGAGAATGGGAGCTGTGCTCAGTGGGAGTTGATTCTGGAAAAGCGTGCTCACGGTGCGGCTGAGAGTGCACGCAAATGGGTGCACAGAGGCAGGGAGCTGTCAGCTGAGACTTTTTTGAACGGACAAGATCAACCCCAGAGCATCATGGTCTTCCTTTAACCTCCAGGTAATGCAGGTGGTGAAGGAGCAGGTGATGAGAGCTCTTACAACCAAGCCTAGCTCCCTGGACCAGTTCAAGAGCAAACTGCAGAACCTGAGCTACACTGAGATCCTGAAAATCCGCCAGTCCGAGAGGATGAACCAGGAGGACTTCCAGTCTCGCCCGATTTTGTAAGTGACCCACCCCCTCCACCTCCCCCCACCCCTCCACCTCCTCCAGGGCTCTGACGGGCCACTTCTAAGGTGAGAGTCTCTCACAGCCCGGCTGCTGGGAGCTCTTTGTGGGAGGCCAATGAGAGATGTTCCGAAAGATCTCAGTTCAGCCGTGGAGTCGGAGCAGCCCCCTGGGCTGGGCGGGAGGTGGGCAGGTGCTGGTCGAAGGATCTAAAGCAGGAAGCGGCCCGGTGAAGGGTGAACCTCTGAGGATGTGTAGCTGAAACATTGGGGACCTTTCCTACCACTGGGAGCAAACTTGGTTGCCCATGAAGCTACATTCTTTGGAGGTGCCTTTGAGGGGCAAGATGGCTGGCCCAGCCAGAGTGAGGCCGTGCTATTAAGGCAATGTCACTCCAGCAGCGCGAGTGGGACGGACGGGAGCCCGAGAGGCGCGATGCACCTGCTCCCTGCCTGTTGGCGCCGCTCGGCATCACTTCACATTTCCCTTGTGACCGAGGCAGAGAGGCCGGGCCCCCTTCACAGTTCCGGGCATCCAAGCCCACCAGCTGCAGTCGCTTCATTTCAGATGCCTCCGTCTGTAAGATGTGCTGAAGCTTGGATGCAAAGGCTGTCGGGTTCCCATTTGCCAGTGACAGAAACGAAAGCAAAGCATGGTTCCGAGTTTGCCCAGACTCAGCGTTTGCTGTGGAATAGTCATCAGGTCGTGGCCGATGTCCCTGTTGGGTCAGATCGCAAATGTCGTCACTGAGACCGACTTGGGGCGAGGGGGGTTGTGACCAGGGACTTATATGCCCAGCAAAGCTGCGCGCTTTTTGCAGAAGTTTATGTGTGTCTGTAAAACAAGAGGAGAAATTTCTCGGGACCCTGTGGTCTGGAAAACCATCACTCAGGTGGCCAGTGCTTTGTGGATTCTGTAAATGCCAGAGGAGCCATAGTGTTACTGTAACAGATACGCCTTCACAGATGAGTCTCCAAAGCCCAGCTTGGGGGGCATTGGGATGTTCATGAAAAGATGCAGCTGCATCCCTTCCCCCTCGCCTTCCTTACCTCCTCCTCCCCCCACCCCCGCGCACAGAGCCCGGCCCCAAGGCCCGCTGTGGAACGTGTGTGTTTTCACAGGGAGCTCAAGGAGAAGATCCAGCCAGAAATCTTGGAGCTGATCAAGCAGCAGCGCCTGAACCGCCTGGTGGAAGGGACCTGCTTCCGGAAACTCAACTCCAGGCGGAGGCAAGGTACGGTGCCTGGGGCTGCACCGCCCGGACCTGCCTGGGGAGGCCCAGGGAGTGGGCTGGTTTAGGGGAGGACGTGCAGCCCAGACTGCGGACAGGAATCACAGTCCCTGTGAGTTCTGATGCCCTGTGCACCCCAAGGAGAGCCGAAGTCCAGAATTCCAGAGGATCTGGGGAGCTGAAGAGCCTTCTGGGCCACATAATGCCATGAGTTTGTTGTGGTTCATGTGTTGATTGAGACGTTACCACGTGCCGGCTGAGGTGTAACTTACATTCATGAGTTCTATCCTCACAGTAACCCTGTGACGGAGCTCCAGGTCCCCTGAGGACCAGAGCCAGCCCCAAACTCGTCTCAGCCTGGATTGTGAGGTCAGACCATAAACGGCCCTGCTCATAGAGCCGCCTTTGGCCAAGTTCATTAACATTCAATGACAGACCAATTTCTTTTTATCCCCTTGGCGGAGCAAACACAGAGTATTCCCATCCTCGCGGAAGGTCTGTCACACGTGACCACAGGAATTAGGATCCTGGTGTTGATTAGCTCCATTAGGAGCCACGTGACTCCAGAGCAGCTTTAATCAGCACCGGAGACCTGCTTCCTAGGCTTGTGTGTTTGAAACCAGCTTTTCCCTCTGATCCTTCAGAGAGATGGAGATGGAGATGGAGATGGAGATGGAGATGGGACAGGGATAGAGACAGGGCTAGAAACAGGAATAGGGGGACGGGGGGGGGGGGGGGGAGGGAATTGTCTCCATGTTTTAGTGTTGGAGTCTGGGGAATGAAGAGGTGGCTATTAAGGTACTGAATTCCCAGGTGTCTGGGAGGCCTCTGTAGTGACTCCTGTTGTCCCTGTAAATGCTAGTAAGCAACCTCTGGCAGAGTTCTCACTGCTGCTTCTGGTTGCCTTCAGTGACACAGTCACTCGTTCATTACCCAGAGGGATTTAAGGGACTGGTAAAACATCAGGCTGGGTTTTGTAAAGAACACACACATTTTCTTACCATCAGAAACTGCAAATCCAGCTGCTGCTGACGGCTGGATTTGCAGCTGGTCGGAGCTGGCACCTCTGCCTCTCCCTAGAGCTGCCCTACCTTCCAGGCAGACACACCCCGAGGGGCGCCATAGTCTTCCCGAGAGCAGGACGCCAGCCGTTACCCCACGGCAGACCCTGGCTGGACCAGCACGTGACTCTCAGGAGTCAAAGCACCTCCAAGCCTCACACCCTTTGCCATCCGTCCAACCTCCTCTCTGATGGGGGGCAGCACCTCACTAACTGCAGTGCTGCATGGTGCTTTCTGTTCCCCCCTACCCCCGGCATCTTAGTGCTAGACAGAGGGGAGCTTACAGGGACAAGAGAAGAGCTGGGCTGTGAGTTAAGTCAAGAGCAGTGAGCCTCCGGCCGGAGGAAATCCATCAGCCGGACGGCAGCTATTGCTAAGGCCGAGCTCAGCAGCCTTCTTGGAACAAACATCGACGGCAGCTTTGCAAGGAAGGTGGTTGTCTTGCCTCCCAGAGCTGATAAATAGCCTCTTCTCTAGCGGTTTCTGAACGGAAGAAGCGTTGCCGCAGGGACCTGCTCTGTTCCTGCTTTTCCCTGCCATGGGTCCCTGTCCCTGCTTCTCAGCGGGGACACGGATGTTCCCACTGCCCCCCTGGTCGCCATCAGGAACTTAGGGTTCGTTCCTTCCTGAAGCATCCAGATTGGGGGACTGGTGGTGCGGTCAGGAGATGGAGTTTTGTCGGAGCTGTGGGTACCGGCCCCTGACCTTGCCTCTTTGTGTCTCCTCCTCAGACAAGTTCTGGTATTGCCGGCTGTCCCCCAACCACAAGGTCCTGCACTACGGAGACCTGGAGGAGAGTCCCCAGGGGGAGGTGCCCCACGACTCCCTGCAGGACAAGCGTAAGTGCCCTCCGACGGCGGCTGGGGCCGGTGCTTGCTTGTTTCCTGGTCACTAAACACCATGCAGAAAAGCTGGCCGTCCACCCACATACCCCACCGTGGAACGAGTCAGGTCTTCCATTACTGTCCAGTGCCATCGCTCAGGCCTGGCACGTGGCCCTGCCTTGAGACCAAGGGGGATATTGCCTCCCGCCCCTGACGTTAATCAGTGCTGGATATTGAGGTACCGATGCAGCCAAGTGTCACAGAATCCTCTTCCTCCAGAGCATGGTGGGGATGGGGAGACTCCGTGGCTGACTCCATCCCCAAAGGGTTAGGAAATCTGATACTTGTAACATGTTGGACAGGAAATAGGGCCCTTAAAAACCCCTGTCTCCCTCCATCCCCTCGCCCCACATCCCCCACCAGGCTGACAGGCCTCATCACCCCACGAACACGAGGCTGCATTGCTGCTCAGCCCCCGGCCCCCCTGTGAGGGAATCTAGGCCATCGCTCTGCACGCCCACGTCAAAGGGGCCGGAGGAGGAGGCGCCCCACACGCACAAGGCGATGAAGCTGGTTACAGGAGACAGAGGAGCGGCTGAGACAGCAAAGCCAAGTGGCCGGGGGTCCCTGATGCACGGTGAAAACTCCCGTCCCCGGCCTACAGACAGAACGAACTTTGATTATTGATCCTGAAAACAGCTCCAAATAACACTTCTTGGGGGCTTACTATTTGGCAGGCCCGGTGCTGAGAACTTTATGTACATGGCCCTCCTGACAACCGGAGGAGGGAGATCCCATTGCCCGTGGTACAGATAAGGAAGCGGGGCACTGGAAAATTAGGGGGCCTGTTCAGGTCACACGGCTAATAAAAGGCAGACGAAGATCTGAGTGCCATCATCCAACACCCTGGCCCAGCCGGCGCCCACCTTTCTGATGCCTGGATTACAAGCCTCGGTGACTGCGGCTCCGGCATCAGCCCAACCCCCTGAGATGGGTGATGTCATGGTTCACATTGCCGGCGAGGACGCTCAGGTCCCAGACATCAGCCCAAAGTGGGGAGTCAGTGGGGGGGGGTCTAGATTTCACACCCAGGCTCTGTGAGTCCACAGGCACAGTCCTTCCCACCACTCCATGCTGTCCCTTAGAGACCAGATCCTTTACTGGCTTAGCTGGGCCCAGCTGGGCCCTCCTCCTCTTTGACCCCGCCACAGGCTGTGTCCACCAAGTGCTCAGCTCACCAGCTACTTCCTCCGTGAGTTCTGCCTCCACCGGCGCACCGAGGGAACACTAACAGTTTTTATCGTGGTGGCCATATTTACTTGTGCAGTGGTGCTTTTGTTTGAAGTCACCATTGAGGTTCCTCCTAATGGAGTTAGCACTCAAAGCGTTTGCTGAACACATCTGAAGTGATGACCACATCAGGGCTGTTCTCGGTGTGAGGAGGTGCTGACACCTTCCAAACATGGGAAGAAGTCATGGCCCACCATGGGAGCATGGAGGGGAAGCGAGGGCAATTGTCCCAGCTCTGATCCCCACTGGCTATGTGATTTCACATCTCTATCTCCTCCCCTTAGGTCTCCGTCTTCCCCTCTCTGCAATGGGGGTGTTGAATTAGATCATCTCAATCCAGCGCAAAGTGAAGAGAGCTTAGAAGCCAATACCCCAGGGATTTAGGGTTGAGAGTAGGGTGCCAGTAGCGACTATCCTGACCTCATATCTCTTGGCCCCACTTCTCTATGCTGACCCCCCCCCCCCCCAAAAAAAAAAGACCTCATAGAACCTCTTGCCTGGCTCTGACCTCATCCAGAGCCCTCGGATGCCCAAGCCGTGACTGGTTCTGCTCATGGCAATAGCGGGCCTAATTCCCCAGTGCCTCAGAGGCACCGAGGCAGAGAACGAGCTTTAAAAGCCACGGATCTTTTTACAATTAGCGTTTTCCTCTCGGCCGTAATCCTGTCACAGGCAGTGTGTCTCCTCGACAGGGACAGGGCCTGTAGAAAGCAGGAAGTCTGTCCTGCCATGAGCAAGGAGGGAGCGTGCCTTCCTTTCTGAGCCTTCTCCTGAGACCTTAAGGCTGCTCCCACTCAGCCTTCACGGGCATCCTGTCCCCATCCGCATGGCGGGTTCTCAAAGCCGCGGGCAGCTTACTATTAATAGATTGGAGACTCTCTAGCACACTGGCCACGTTGCAGATTATGCAACAAGAGACTTTCCAGCTGAAGTGCCCATGACTCATGTGCCATCTGACGCTCGAGAAGGTTTTCTGAATCGGTGTGTTCTTTGTGTCAAATCCACTTGAGTGGTGGCTTCTCCATTGAATAGTAAACCCGACTTCCCCAAATGCCCTCCCTGTGGGATCATGAATAGGATCCATGCAGGCCACCGAGAGGAGCAGGGCTGGCTGATGGCCGGTTATGAAGGTGGATTTGAGGAGGGCTGAAGTTTGCAGTTGTAGTCAGCAGTGTGTCTGAAAATCACAGGGACCGACTACAGGAAATGCCAATGCGAGGGAGAGAGGCAGAAGCAGGAGCGGGCTCCAGGGACTTAGGATAGGCTGCACTGCTATGCTCTGCTGCAGCAACAAACAGCCCCAAATCTCAGTGGCTCAGGACAGTCAGCATCCGTGCATCCCTTCCCACATAACGTAACTGACATGGGTCACTTACTCAGGGACACAGGACTGTGGCTGCTTTGCCACCCATAGCCGTGTCATCTGGATGGAACATGTGAGAGAGGTTGGTGGGTATGGATTTTTCCCTCCTCAGTCAGTTAAAGAGACTGGCCATTTCCTCTCACACTTCATTGGCCAGAACTAACCACATGGCTCCAAAGGTTGCTGGGAAGTATAGTCGCCATATGCCTGGAAAGAAAGGAAAACCAGATATTAGTGAGTGCAAGTAATGGGGTGTAAAATCAGGACTGTGCGATGAAGGAGCAGACATCGTGGGGGGATGCAGAGATTCCCCACAGGGTTCGTGGTGGCCCCAATCTTCTCTAGGGCTGGAGATAGCTCGTCAGCAGATTTACACAAAGTTCTGAGTGTTTTAGGGTACCTGGAAGATATTAGCTCCTAAGAGGTTTTCCTGTTACATCATTTTGAAAGTCTATATATGTTGTAATTCTATCATCCTCTTAGTATGACCCTTGCAACTCAATTCCCCAGTAAAAGCATGTGAACTTTTATTGTGAAATTTCTCATCATCTTCTCCATTAAGGAAATGATTACTAAGGAAATTACTGGTTGATTACTTAGGAATTCAGTACTCAAAGCGTCCGCAGATTCGAAGTAAGACATCTCTTATGGGACAAAAGATTAGCAATTGGAAAGGGACAAGTGACTTTGAATTATTTTTAAGGTTCCAAATCTCTCTCTCCCTCCCTCACTCCCTCCTTTCCTCCCTCTCCCCCCTCCCCTCTTTCTCTGTCTCTCTCTCTCTCTTTCCTTTAACAAAACAAACGTTTTAGAGGCAATCACCTCTCCATCTCTTTTTCTCTCCTTCCGAGTCCTGAGTAAGACACGAGATAGCATCTTTTCATCTAGCTGCGCGAGAAATGCTGGCTACCGTTTCCCTATCAGAAAAGAACATCCCCTTCCTTGCAGTTGAGTGTCATTGTCTGGGAAACAGGGATAATGGACCCTGCCTTGAAGAACTGTTGTGGGAACGATGAGCTGGGGACAGGGAGAATGACAGTGAGGGCCCAGGACTATTTAGTCAAATAAATGTTTTATGAGAGAGCTGCTTTTCTTCATACCCCAAACTCAGAGACTAAATAGAAGAAGATAGTTCAGCAAGAGACCCTGACATACTTGAAGCTCTTGGCCTTGCTTTTGACACTCAGTGTCTTTCACGATGCCAGTAGTAGCACCACTATTGCTGTTGGCACCACTGCTTCCTCTCATGCTGTCACTGTCACATGACTGCGGTGGGATTTTTTTTTTTTTTTTTAGGTATTTGTCTTGATGAACTAAATTCTGCTTATTTTTCTCCCCAGGATGCTTTCTGCCGGACTATAAGGACATACATCCGTTTCCAAGTCCTGGGCACTGCCTGACTTCTCCTCCTCTTCGCACCCCTTCTTCCTCCTTGCTGTGGTTGCCGGGGCGGCCGCTGGGCTGGCAGGCGCCGTGCTCAGTCCTGCTTCTCTGCTGGCACCTCTGCCTTTACACGGTGGCGTCACTCTCATTTCTTTTATGAATTGCAGTGCCGGTGGCAGACATCAAAGCGGTGGTGACAGGGAAGGACTGCCCTCATATGAAAGAGAAAGGTGCCCTTAAACAAAACAAGGTATGGCTTCCACATTATTGCATGTAGTTCTGTCTGAGCAATGCACCAGCCGTGGGCCCAGCCTTTGTTCTTTGTCTGCAGTGCGCATGTGCCTGCATGCCTGCATACGTCCGTGTGTGTGCTCGTGTGTGTGTCTGTGTCTGTGTGTGTGTGTGTCTCTGTGTGCGTGTGTGTGTGTGTGGTTGCGGTTGGGCACCTTCCTCCTTTCCTGATTTCTTTTACATAAATAGCTTATTTCCCCTCCCATCAATCATGTGTTAAATCTGTTCTCTCCCTCCCTGTGTGCAGCCCTAGGACTTGCCCTCTCACTATTGTCCCTGGCTTCTGTCCAGCCTTGTCTGCTCACACACACCCTGTCCCCTCTTCCTTGGGCCTCTTCTAACCTCCCATTGATATTTATATTATCCCCTTACCCACCGCCACTCCCCAATCTCTTCCATTTTCTCCTGCTGTTATCACCTTAGTAGCCGTGCTGGGGTCTCAGGGAGGGCTGGGGAAGGCAGAGACCAAACGACTCAGAAAATTGTAGGAAATGTTTGAGGCCTGACCTCCTGCCGAATGGTGGAGTGCTGTGAAGTAGGCCAAGCCCAGCTTTAAGCACACACATTCCCCAGACTGGATGTCGCTTCAGTCCCGCTCACATTACAACAGTTTCCACCCGCCCTCCTAGTTGACCAGCTGGCTGTTCACCAGGACAGCTCACAGCCGTGCCAGAGAATATGCCAGGGGCATTATCTGGAAAGATGCAAGATTTCCTTTGCCCCAGTTTGGAGGTATTTGATCTTGGAGGGGCCACAAGGAAGGCAATTCTTTGTTTATACCTCTTGGCATCTTGTGAATGTAGTACTCCTCCATGAATGAAATCACCCAGGTCCATCAGGGTGCTCCCGCCACCTTGCTACCAAAATTATCATATAGGTCAATATGTTGCTCTTCAATTGTTCACATTTGGTATCTATGTGGACTATAAACATGATACACATTTTACTTATCAGTCAGGATTGAAGTGAATAATCCCTGCTCTGTAATGTCTAACACGAAAAGACAATGGGGAATCCCGGTCTGCATTGGATGACACTATCTATGATTGAGGAAAAACAAAAGTACACACACACACACACACACACACACACACACACCCCAAGTTACCAAGTTCTATCCTCAAGGTCACAAACAGAGTTAAAGTGATTGCTGGCCAAAGTGGCCAAAGAGGCGAGTCACCCCAAAAAAATACACAGCCAACAATGTGTACTGAAAATACCCTGTGTACATCCCTGCTCTTGTGTCCATTCAGTCCATTATTTGGCCCTGGAAGATGACAGCCCCAAAACCAAGGCACCATCATGTCCAGAATTCCTCTGAGCATCCCCTGACCCAACGTGCCTTGTCCCTGGTTCCAGGGCCGGAGGGTAGAGCGCAAGGTCAGAGGCCCTGGGCAAGGGTGGGGGGGGTCTTCAGGTCCCCAGAACCCACCCTCCTGGCCTCCCGCCACACAATGAGGGGCCTGGCGAACCAGTGGGACAAAGAATGGCCATTAGCTGCTCCTGGACATCAGTTCTCACTGAGTTAAATTCACTGAATTAAATTCTCAGGCGGGAGCTCAGATGGCTGAGTGCCGTGGGGTGTGACAAGGAGCCCCTGAGGGGGACACTGCCCCAGATCCATGACAGCGTACCCCTACTTCCTGGCGCCTCTCTCCCTCCAGAAGGTCTGGACAGGTGGCAGCTCCTGGAGTGTTAGCCCGAGAAGTGTCATTGCTCCCCGCCCTGCAGCCGCCCTGCGCCATGTGCGGAAGCGCTGACCTCCACTGACAGCTCAATGACAGCAAGCCAGAGCCATCAATAAAACTCATTATAAGTGATAGCAGCCTCTGAGACAGGCATGGGCTTGGAGAATTAATTCCTCCCTCATCCTCCCAGGCAGCTTCGGAGAAATTAGAGCGGGGACTGGCATGCTCCCAGATTTCATGTTTCCTGATGTTTGTCAGGGATCTAGGTCATGGCAGTGCCCCTCATGCACGTCCTCACGGGTGCATGCCTCGGGAGGGCCAAGATCCACGTCTACAACCCCCCGTCAGTGACTGCTTCTCTTGTAAGACTGCACCCCGCCGCTGTGCAGACCAGTAGGATGCTCTCTGCGCTCAGCATCGTGCAGTGCAGACAACGTGAGAAGTGCATGTTAACATCCCCATCAGACGGGACATGGAGTGTCTCTCCCCAGGCCACTCAGCCACAGTGAAATGAGTGTCCTTGGCCCTTTGTGTCTGGCTCCTCCTGTCTGCACTCAGTAGACACTCACCAATGAATGGACCCAGCTCCTCTGACATTGGGCCCAGGCTCCCGTTGGCTGCTCTGGCATAAAACTTAGGGTTGGGTAGCCTTTGCTCTGCAGTAGGTCAAAGATCAAGGGCAGACATGGTCCCTAAAGATAACAGTTCACCCAGAGCGTCATTCCCTACCGTGTTTTAGGACATAACACCCCTATGAGCACCTGTCTGGTTGAGGTGCTCACAGGGAGAGCGGCCCTTCGTGCTGCTGACGAGGAGGGGTTTACAGGTTTGGGTTTACACCCCGGGAAGAGCGACGCTGAAGAGAGAGCCACAGCTGTGGGTGGTACGGCCCTGACCATTCATCGGGGTCAAAGGGCAAAGCGAACGTGCCCTTCCCCTGAACGGCTTTCTCCCGTCTCTTGCAGGAGGTGCTTGAACTCGCTTTCTCCATCCTGTACGACTCCAACTGCCAACTGAACTTCATCGCTCCTGACAAGCATGAGGTGAGGGTCCGGGCGGGGTGAGCTGATGACAGGATGCCACACTTCCTCTAGAAAAACAAGCAGGAGGGAAATAGGGGAAAGAAAGAAATTTCATTTAAAAAAAAAAAAAAAGAAGCACAATCATGAGCAAAGGAGCATCTTGTAGACTCTGGATAGAAGGGAAACCTCCGGAAAACCTGCCGGCTTCTCCCTAGCTCGGGTGGAGTCCATGGAAAGCAAAAGAGTCTGCAGATGCCTCAGGCTCTGCCATGGCCCGCTGCGACCCCAGGAGAGGACCCCTGGGAATTACATGGAATACTTCCTTTTGTCAGGATTTTCCCAAGACAAACCTGTCTGTATTCTTTAAAATACTATATACACCCTGCCCGGCCAGCTTGGCTCAGTCCATGACCTAGGAACCAGGAGGTCACGGTTTGATTCCCGGTCAGGGCACAGGCCTGGGTTGCGGGCTCAGTCCCCAGTGTGGGGTGGGCAGGAGGCAGCCAATCGATGATTCTCATCATTGAGGTTTCTATCTCTCCTTCTCCCTTCCTCTCGGAAATTAACAGAAATATATACATATATATATATATATATATATATATATATATATATATATATATATATATAATTTATTTATTTTTTTAAATAAAATACTATATACACCCAAAACTAACATAAAATAATATTGAAAAATAAAATTTAGAAACAGTTGATAAGGGAGGTTTTCTTTAAGTTCTTTGAGAGGTTTAGGGCTGTCTCCACTGCTGGGATGTATTTCTGAGATGCTTTTGTTCCTTTCTGACATCCTGTTATACGTGTGATTTGTTTCTCTTCTTGAGGCACGCTGTCAGCTATATTTGAAATATTTAGCATGAAGCTAGGAAGAGAAAGTACAGTGATGGTTGATTTAACTTCTTCTCTTGTAAGCTCGAACCAGCCTCATGCTGGAGACTTATTTTTAGAGGCACCATTCAGATTTGTTGGGCGTGGGGCCGCATAAGCAGCTCAGAAGGGAAGGACGCGTCCGTAAAAGCCCGCTGTGCCGGGCCCTCCAGGAGCCCCGCTTCTTTGGAAGTTATTCAGAAGCCGCTTCCACTGTTTGAAGCTTTGGAATAAAAATGTACATCCCAGAGCGAGAGGAGAGATTAGATGCAAATCCCGCATTTAGAATGGTGCCTGCGTTTCATTCTGGGCTGCTTGACATTTCGTGTGCAGAAGGCTCTGGCTTTGTCCTCGTGGTCCTGAAAATAGGCTCTGTGTCCCACTGCTTCCGTCCTGAAGTGAAGCTGTGGTTGTGAGCGGTGACCTGGAATAGGGAACCAGGGTGCCCAGGATGCGGGGGAGGCTTCCCCTGAGCCCTCATGCCCGCCGCTCAGGCTGGGCTGCAGGGTCCAGTGTGCCTGCCCGTGCTGTCGGCTCCTTCGTTGCGTGGCCCCCTCACGCCGTAAGGTAGAAACAGTGGTCACGGTCACGGTACCCTCTTACCAGGGAGGAGAGCCGCTTCCCCAGGGAGCACCTCGACAGCAGGAAAGACCTGGTTGTGTAAATGCTCCTGCTTTCGCCTTCCTCTCACTTGACTCTCATCTAACATCCCAAAGTGCAAGCCACTAGTGTCCCCATTCGTGAAGGAGGGAAACGAGGCGCAGAGGTTAAGACACGTGTCCCTGGTCAAACAGGTTGGAAGCGATGAGCTGGTATTGGAGCCTGGCAGGGGAGGGGGGGGGGATTCTCCGGAAACCCCTGCTCTGTGGCTCCTGCTCTGTGTGGCTGGGCAGAGAGAAAGAAAGAGGGTGAGAGTCTGTGCATTCGCTCCCAGAGCTTGTCACGGTGGTTGGCCACTCCCATTGCTTTCCGGAGGCCGCTGGGGGCTAGGTACCATCCACGAGGCCTCCTCACAGGCTGGGCCACGAGGTGCAAGTGTGTGGCCTCCCGCAGTGGGCTATTGCTTCCTGGACTCCGCCCCTGTTCCTTGGTAGCCACCCTGGCACACTAGTCCTGTCCGGTTGGACATGTTTCAGTACCTCTGTACGCAGTCAGAGGTGGGAGCAGAAGTGCCAGCTGTGTGCAGCTTTGTGTGTGTCTTAGAGTGACGCAGGCCAAGCGCTGAGCACGGGGCCTGGCGGTGGAGTAGTCGGTGTTAGCTATCGCTGCAGCTCGAGGGCGTCTTCAGTGCTTGTCATTGTCCCCTCCTCTCCCGCCAGTACTGCATCTGGACAGACGGGCTGAACGCCCTGCTGGGGAAGGACATGCTGAGCGACCTGACGCGGAACGACCTGGACACGCTGCTCAGCATGGAGATCAAGCTCCGCCTGCTGGACCTGGAGAACATTCAGATCCCCGACGCGCCCCCGCCTATCCCCAAAGAGCCCAGCAACTATGACTTTGTCTACGACTGCAACTGAGGCGCTGGCCCAGCTCCCCGCCCCACAACTGGAAACGCGGCCAGCAGGAGAGAAGAGGGAACGCGGGCCACGCCGTGGGATCCGTGTGGCAAAGGGAAGCGTGGCCCGCACTTCCTCCGGCCTCGCCTCCAGTCTTCCTGCCCCCACCCGGCATCTAGCTCAGCGCCCTGATTGTGTTTCTAGACGCCGTTGCTTTAGGTCACCTCCCGCTGCTGCAGCCTCTGGTGGGACCAGAGCAAGCCCGCCACCAGTAAGAGAGCCAGAGGGCCCTCCATCCTCACCCCGGCAGGCATGCCCTCCCCTCCTGGCGTCTGAGGGCCAGCAGCTCCTGACTGCCCCCAGCCAGCCCGCCAGACCTAGGGGGGTGGGGGGGCCACGCAAGGCTTGTGTCTTGAAGAAACAGTCCAACTACTTGAGAAGACCCAACACCGCCTCCTCATCCCCTTCTCCAGAGTGCACTCACACCGCCCATGCTGTATGAACTGAGATCCGCTTTCACATCCGCTCCCTCCTCCATCCCGGCCTTTGCCTTGTCCTGTTCCTCTTTGGTCCCAAGAGCAGCAGCCGCCGCCTCATCATAGTTCCCACCGGCCTTGGATCGCCAGACGCAGTCCCCAGGTCCCAGGCCCATGCCACGTCTGCACTGTGACCTTGACCAGCCTCCTCTCCTCACCAGCTAGTCTTGGGTCTCCTCCCCCTGCCCCAGCCGCACCTGCCTTCTCCGTGTCCACAGCCCTCCCGGCCCCTTAGCTGAAAGCACAAAAGGTGAAGTCAGTTGTCATGCTCCATCTCTAACAGCGACGCCCCATAGGCCTCTGCGACAGACGGCTCCTGCTTGCGTGTCTGGTGTCACCTCCTGGGGGGAGGGGTGGGGGCCCGCAGTCGGGTCCTGCTGCGACAGGGGTTCCACGAGATGGTCGCGGTGTCCGACATCACGTTTACATCACTGTAGCTATTACAGGTGTTGACAGTTTGCAAGGGTTTGGGTCGGCTGGTTGTTACTTTTTTGTTTTGTTTTGCTTTGTTTTTGTATAAAAGAGTCTAACATTTTTTTGCCAAACAGATATATATTTAATGAAAAGAAGAGATACATAAATGTGTGTACTTTCCAGCCTTTTTAATTATTTTCATCCTGAACATCTTCCTGAGAATAACATTCCCTGAAACATGCTGTGGAATAAAATTAATCGTGATGAGTTGGGGAGCTGGCGTGTTGATGTGGTGACGTGTGTTCTTGCTGTTCAATGGTCAGGGTTGCCCAGGAGCCCGTCAGAAATGCAGCCCCTGCGGCCCCACCCCAGACCCCATAATCGGGGGTTCGTGTGCATAGTCACTCTGAGGAGCACTGGCTCGGGGGCCTTGGAGCTTCGCTCCGTCTCCGTAGGGCCTGAGCGTCAGTAAAGGGTGTTCCTTCTACGAGGACCATCTCAGCTCAGGAGAACGCCAGGCCCGCTGTGTGAAAATGTGACTGTTCATTTGACCCCGAGGCCTCCTGCCTGTGGCACTCTCTTACCCCACCTTCCCCTGTGGTCGTGCTGGACATTGAACAACTGGGCCAGACCCTGGGTGTTACCTGGAAATCCAGGATCAGGGGTCCAGCCTGCAGGAGAAGAGCTAAACGTGGAAAGTGAGTCAACATGCAGGAGTCGGGCACCACCCGCAGGCACACGGGAGCAAGGTGGGAGCTGAGGGGTACTCCCTGTAGCGCTGGGAATGGTGGGAAATCTCTGTAACTGGCTTCTATTGGGGTCCCCGTGTGGTCCTGGCTGCCACTGCCTGACCACCTGGTAATGGGCAGTGAGCTCAATGTCCCCGTTCATAACACCATTTCCCTCTCCAGGACGCTGCTCGTCTTACCCATTCCACAGGTGAGAAGTTCAAAGCTCAGCATTCAGGTGGCTCTCCAAGGTCACACCGTAAGGAAGGATGGGGTTTGGGCCTGAGGAGACCTTTCTCTGACTCCCTAGCCAACACTGACCCAGAGGATCATCTCAATCCGGGGGAGCAGCCATCACATGTTGCTAGTGGATTCCATCATCTCCAAAAACATGCTTCTCTGTAAGTTCTGTGGCTGTGCCCTGTAGCCAGCCTTCTCCGGTCCTTCGTCCCTGCCCATGTTCCCCTGCTGGGCCTCACACCTGAGCCAGCCCCCTCGGCTGGACCGTCTCAGTTCTAGCTTTTCCTCCCAGATCCTTAAGGCCTCCTCCTGGTCACCAGGTCTAAGAGAACTCTGCCCTCAGAGTACCCTGCCACCCTGATCGATCTACCAGGAGTCCTCCAGCCTCTCGTGGTCTGTCTGGCTTGTATATTTGCTCTTCGTCAACGTCTGTGGCTACTCATTTGGGGGGTCATTGTGGTCTTCAAAAGCTGCCAGGATGGCCCCTAGAGAAGGTTAGACTCTGAAGCGCATGCCTAGAACTTGGGAGGTGATGCTCCAAGTGCAACAAAGAGCCACCTGCTCACCTCAGTGGGTGCCATTGTCTCAGGAGGCCCCAGCGCTTTCCCCGTCAACAGCTCCCAGCACTTCCTTCACAGCCTGGGGGCTCTCTGAGGCCATTGCTTCTGGGACTGCATCTTGCATTTTTCTGCTCGCACTGAGAAAGGAGCCATGAGCTCTCCCGCAGAATGCAAAGCAGGGGAATAGGAGCCGGGCCAGCCCTGCAGACCTGGCTGGGGGGGAGAGGGGGTGGTACTGCTGTGCACGCCACTAGCCCACTGCCCTGGCTCCAAGAGCAAGTGCCCAAGGCAGAGTGCCTCTGAGAGCAGGGCCCGTCTGCCATTCCTTCTGCCTGATGCGCGCTATTTCCTGCACATCCTGGGAGTGGACAGAGGAGAATTAAACAGGCCTGGGTGCGATTGCATTGGGCTCAAGTCATTTCAAAAGCAGCCAAGGATTCCCCCAGCTCCAAATACAGTCATCACTGGAGCAGCTGTTCCCGGACCGTGCCTCCGCTGGGGCCGCTGGGTGCGTGGATCTGAGTGGCAGCTTGCCAGCGTCTCACTTGCAGTGCCCGGAGGAGAAATCCTCAGGGTATGCAGTTCCGGCGGATGTGCCCAGATGGCTCTTTAAATTCTCCTTCAAACAATCGTATTGCTTTGTTTTTCAGTTTATGAAATACGCATAGGAAATGCGGGAAATTCAGAGTATGTGCACAGGAAGAAGGTGTTTCCTAATTTAGATAACCATCATTCATATTTCCATGTCTTCTCCTCCCTTTTCTCCACTTACCTGATAGATAAATAGATGGCTAGATACTAGGTAGATGTAGATGATAAGTAGATGTAGGTGATAGATATGATGGGTGTAGAAATAGTATGTAATTGAGAATATCCTGTATGTGGTACATATTTCTATCACCAAATGAATGGAACCAGCCAGGGAGACAAGTGTTCCTACGACTCGCCCTCAGGTCGCTCGGTGTCTCTGGGGGTCTCAGCCAGTGGTTCTGCCTTGCTCCTAGTGTTTGGCATCTTATTTCACGAGGCCACTCTTGATGACTCGTGGAGAAGTCCTTGGCCAGTCACACAGCAGGGTACCGCTATGAGTATGCTTCTCTGTGTCCAGGAAAACCGATGAGAGAGCTAAAAAACTTAAGCAAATCCTATCTATCCAATGGGGAAAGCCTGAAGCAAAACTTCCAGTGAGAGAAAGAGAAAAGGAGAGTTTGCAGGATGTCAGGGGAATGTTAGGAGCCCAACTTGGAGGCCTGAGAGGAAAGGAAGGTGGGCCAGGCCAAGCTGAACGGAGACCTAGCTTCCCTCCCGCTGTGAGGAGAGTGCTCCCCTGTGTGTGCTCCCAGCCCTCCTTCAACCCCCTTATGAGAAAGAAGGTGCACAGGCACATTCCTCACTCTCCATAGCCTCCTCTCGGGCTGGGGCTGTCAGCCTTGGACTACTGACTTGGGGCCGGTAAGTGGGGGTTCGTCCTGTGCTTTGTGACATGTTGAGCACAATCCCCGTAATCTGCCCATCAGAGCCCAGTAGTACCTGTCCCCTACCCCAATCCAGGCAAGTTGTGACAATCAGACACGTCTCTGATCCTTCCAGTTGAGAATCGCTGAACTGGAGATGTAGGGGTGAGGACAGAGGGATAGGAGTCTGCCTGCTGGCATCAAGCACAATGGCCCTCTGGGCATAGCATCAAGCAATTTCAGCAGCAATGACTCCTGGGACATGGGGGCGGAGGCCACCCATCGCCATTTGAGTTTGAGAAGAAGAAAGGAAATAAAACCGGATTTGCATATTTTATTTACCTTAAACATCTGGATGGTCTTTCTAGGGGGGCCTTGCTTCCCTCCTGTTGCAAGGGAGGAAACCGAGGCTCAGAGAGGGAATCTTGCCCAGGACCACAGAGCAGCTGACAGAGGGCTCCCCACCCCACAAAGTGAGGGCCCCTGGCGTTTGGAGAAAATGCATCTTCTGCACCCTACCTGTGTAAACGCTCACTCGGAAAGCTGGAGCAGGAGGAGGCGGGCCTGAGCGGAGACCCCAAACCGAGCAATTCAATGGGGAAGATTTTCACCCTTCTAATTACTTTGTCAGCAAAACTGTCGCTGGAGTATTTTGTCTCCTGATTGGGCTCTGCAATTAAAGCCTCTTTGATGCCGGCACGTTTGGGCTAATTTTAAATCTGATTACCGTCTGCATGGCATCTGCTCAAAGCTGTTTCTCAAACCAGCAGCAGCGGTTTTCCTGGGGACGTGAGTTGTCAGAGTTTGTGGCCAGAAGTCCCTGCAGCCACGTCTTCCTCTCCTTCCCCTGTGGGCACCTCCGGACGTGGTCAGATCCCAGCAGGTGCACCTCCAAGCGAACTTTGTGCCGGGAATCCCGTACTCTCTGGGAGCCTGCAGAGCCGTGCTGTCTGCATGCGGCCTGAATCAGATCTAAGAGAAAGTTGGGCCTCTGAGCAGACCAGCGAGAGAAAGGCTTTGGGCCACGTCCTGGGGTCCCTCAACTTGAACCCTCTGCGGTAACAGCAGTAATCCCTGCCTTGAATCTGC